GTGGTGGCAAAACAGCTTGCCCCCACACCTGATACTCAGCTTCTGCAGTACTGTCCCTGCCACAGCTCAGAACATCACAACCTCCAATCTAATCTCCACTCCACAGAGATTAGTGTTCAGGCAACTTAATTTGGCCAAACGATGCTCCCATAAGTGTCCAGGTCTTGGGCTCTGAAAGCAAGCATCAGCACCTTGAATCGTGCATAGACATCCACCAGAATCTTCCCAGTCCTACACTCTGCATGTCCACCCCTTTCCTGGCCTACTTTTTCTTTCCAGCTCTTTGCCAGTTCTTCTTTCTGTCTGTCTGCCTTCTGTTCAGGAAGGATTCACTGCTTCTCGGTCCATTTAATCTCCCCGCCCATCATGATCCAGCTCCTCCTCATTCTTTCCCTATGTCCCCATCTTGCCCTTCTCTGTTTTCTTGTCCCCTTTCAGTCCCTGCTCTCGATCAGCCTGCCTGCCTTCCTCGCAGGCCCTTCTCCCATCCTTTGGCCCACCTATTCTCATCATTCACTGGAGGAGTCAATTGTGCTAGCGAAAGTCACAGGCAGAAAAAGAAGAGGAAGACCTTACAGGACATGGATCGATTCCAAGCAGGAAGCCACAGCCTTGCGTTTAGAAAAGCTGAGCGGGGTTGCCAGGGATGGGACTTTTGGAGGGCACTCCTTCACAGGGCCACCCCGAGTGGGACACAACATGATGCCACGTAACAACACCCCTCTCTTTCCAGTCCTGTCTCTCTGCCTGTCTCTCTCCAAAGGACATCCAGTGAGCGCAGTCACACAGAATGCATCTCTGAGCATGCACAGAGCAGTTCCTTGAATCCAAGTTAGCAACTGCTTCCAAGAGCCCTCCTTTTGAGTACCCCTGGGCCTCCTCCCTCTGGAATGGCCCCTGTGGAGGCGTGCAAACCTCTGCTCCATATACCTCTGGTTGGCCAGCCCTTCTCTCCCAATGCCATGTCAGGGGATCAAGAGTTGGCTGACACCTGGTGCTGCTGTTCCATGCTCTCTCCCAGCAGCTGCAGATCCTGGCTATTGTCAGAGTCTGCCTGAACACCTGGAGAGAAACCCCTCCACTTCCCCCATCTCTGCCAGTTCCCAGGAGCCTTCCTCCTCCTCCTCCTCCTCCTCCTCCTCCTCCTCCTCCTCCTCCTCATGAGTCCGAATCTGCCAGCCCCTGGAATGTGCACACAGAACAACTGTTCCTTTTGTTCCCAGCACTTTCACATCAAATTAAGTTCCCACAGGTGTTTTCCCTGGGTAGAATTGCTTCATCTCCCTCCCCAAATTAGCTTCCTTGTAGGTTCTGGCAGAGAACTAACACTCATGCAGAGTTTTGCTAAGTACACTGAAATTATTTTACCTCTCGTCCACATTCCTATGGGAGGTTTACCCAAGAAGAAGCTTAAGCTGGGATGAATCTGAATTCCGTCGCAGGCAGAAATTAGTATCAACATCCGTGTTGCCCATCACCTCACCCTTTGCCCGAGAACCACCAGATGGACCACCAGCCATAATCATTTACTTGTACTGTTGCCCCTTTTGCACCGAAAATGGGGATGGAAACGGTTTTCCAATTGTCTTCAATACAAGGTACATGCAGGTAAAGAGAACTGAACTTTCCTCCTGTAGGTTTAGGAAGACATGCTGGGAACCCCCAGGTGGTTCAGAACTCCTGCCTAGCTGTTACTTGGCATGTCTATGGCCCAGAGTTCAAGTTTTCAAAGCTGTGCTCTTGCTCTGGAGAGTTATTTATGCTTACCAAAATGTGTTCTTTCATTCCTTTCATTTATTACAGTCACAGACCTGCAGGATTAATCCACAAATCAAAAATAACAACAATAAAATAAAAACCCATTGAAACTAATGCTGTTAAGCAGTATCTTCTCTCAGGAAGATTAAATTTTCCCCCTAATTTACACTTGAAGTTTTAAAAAAATTGGCAACCTTTCCAGAAACATATGAAGATAGATGCCTTAAATTAGTGGATACCAAAGTTGAAAGATTATTGCCATACTGTTCTGTTATTAATGGTATAATCAATTTCTCTCTGCATTCCCTATACAAGCCACATCATAGAAGAATCTGTTTCACTGATTCTACTGCTCCAGCAGCAGAAAAAATGCCACTTACCAAATCCATAATTGTCTCCCTAACCAGGACAGAAAAAATGCTTCCCCACCCCCCAAAAATCCTTATATTTTAGACAGGGAAAAAGAACCTCTTGTGATGACTGCTGGAGAAAGCAAATCTTACAAACCTGCCCTGCTGCAAAAAGAGAGCAGTTGTGTGTTACTGGTCCCAGGAAAGATATCTTGCTGGTGTTTGAAGGAGCAGCATCTGTTTTGCTTATGGCCAAAACGAAAGGTGCTGGCTTTGACCTGCAAGGACTTAAGTGGCTTGGCTGGTGACTGAGACGGGTTGTTGTCCTTCCAGAGGCTGACCTTCCCCCGTGTGTCTGATCACTGGGAGAGACCTCAACGACTCTTGCTCCTGGTAGTCCCATCTTCTGAACTGAGCTGGGCAGTTGCAGGAAGCACAGCCTCTTTGGTCATGGTGCCACAATTGTGAAAGATCATCTCTTGTCCTCTCTCTCTCTGTGTAATTAAAGCACAATTGTTATAATGTAATTTACATGGAGGCTGAACATGTGCAATTCATGCAAGCCTTGAATTCAGTGGAGAACTTTCAGCTTTTTCTTCCTATGCATAAATGCATTCTTGCTCTCTGGTTGTTTTGTTGTTTTTACTATTTGATTCTAGATTAGGGATTTTATTTTGTTGTAAGCCAGCTCAAACACTGAGGTTGAGAGGTATATGGAAATGTGTGTGTGTGTATTAAGAGAGAGAGAGAGAGAGACAGAGACAGCACATTTTAATAAAAATTTCTAAGTTGCCTTAGCTGTTGGAAAAAAATCATTAAAACAATAAATCCTTGAAAACCCAAGAATACCAAAAAAAAAAAGTAAAATCCTTAAAACTGCATATTTTGAACAGTCAAGTTGAAAAGATGAGGTTTTCTTCCTGCCCTTTCCAAAGGCCGACTGCAGTTCTTAAGGGAGCACTTCCCATGGTTTAGGGCCACCGCTGGGGAAGGCCCTTCTATACCATGACTGCATTCACACACATCTGTCTGTGCATACACACAAGTTCCATCCATTTCAGCTCCAGAACAGTTTATTTCAGGGTGAGGTCAGGTGAAGAGCAGGGCATGGTATGACCAGGGCAAAGGAAAGCTTTGCTCCCTTTTCTGGGATCTAAAATAAAACACAGCACAACCTCACCCCCAGCCATGAGCTCAGATATCTGGGCAGCGGTGATGCGTGAGGTGCACATCTCATTTAGCCCTGAGATCGGTGGTTATCTGCTCATTAAAGGGGACAAACCCCGAAAGGCATGCTCCGCAAGGGCATAATTGTGCCCAGTGCACCAGTGTGGCATAGAGGTTAAGCGTGTGAGGATGGGACTCGGGCGATCAAGGTTCTAGTCCCCACTTGGCCATGAATCCCACTGGGTGGCTTTGGGCCAGTCTCAGCCTCACCCTCCTCGCAAGGCTGTTGTTGTGGGGATAAAATGGGGAGAAGGAGAACCTCAAAAGACGCTCTGAGTTCCTCGTGGCGAGGAAGACAGGCTGGGCAGAAATGGAATAGAATGACAACAGCCAGGACAACGGCGACAGTCCCCCCGCCCCCCGCAAATGGCAAGGGGGAGGGCTGCTGGCAATGATGCTGTACACACGTACCCTCACCTAGGCATGTTTTAAAAGGAGCGGGGAGCCTCTTGCCTTCCCTGCGCTCCTGCAGCCCTCGCTTGAAGAGGGCCCCTTGGCTGTGACTGGAGAGATGGGAGGGTGATGTCTATTCCCCCCTCATGGTGTTTTACGCTGTCCCAGGGGGCCGTTGCTTAAGTAGACTAAGCAGGTATAAATAATCGCTTCCCTTCACGGCACCGGTTCATCTATCGGGCTCGCTTGTGCAGAGACACACATGCGCACGCACACGTGTAGCTGGAATACTCCGCGTCGGTGGCGGGGGCAACCTCCTCTGCCCCCGCTTTCGGCAGCAGGCTCTGAGCCGAGCAAAGCAGCCGGGCAGCAGATGTGCCGCTCGGAGCCAGAAGTGCTGCCTCCACTGGGTAAGAGGAGCATGCAGAACTCGGGGGGGGGGGGGGGCCCGGGCGGGGGGGGGGGGGGGGCTCCCTGCCGGGACAGGCTCTTTCCTATGCAGCCCATGGAATGGGACCGGCGCCGGAGGAAGCATCCCGGCAGTTTCATAACTAAAAGCTAGCGTGGGTTTCTTTATTTTCCTTTACTCTGCCAAGCTCGGATGCCACTCCGAAGATGCTTGGAGATCCTGTTTGCCCCACGTTGACAAACTCTGCCAAACTGCAAGGAGAAACACAGGGCTTTAACAAAAGGTGAGTGGGGAATGGGGAGAGAAAGAACATGTCCTCGTTTGCTTTGGTGCTGTATGTCCTCAAATGCTTTGGTGCTGTTTCGTTGGGGGAGCTTGCTTTCTACGGCTACAGAAACATGTAAGTTCAGAGGATTGAGTATATTTTGGGTGGCTGCGGTGCTTGCATTTTGCTGTTGACAGATGACTTTTTCATCCATCAAGACAGATGAGCAAAAGATTTGGAGCACTCGGGTTTTTAAAAGCTGGATTTTTAAAAGCTTTTTCTTTTCTCCTTGTCCTCCCCCTCCCTCCTTCCTTTTTGCAGATTTTAGGAAGTGACTTGCTCCTCAGGTGTGAATGGATCTCAGGATGTGGTGGTCTAATCAGAAAGCAGTTAAAAATGCACCCCTTCTTTCACTTCTAATGCAGCAACAGGGAACAAGGGAAGACTATATGGACTAAGTTTGCTCAGGGAGTTGACAAACTTTAGTTTTGAACAGAAGAGGCTAAGGTTTAGGGACTCGGTTTACAGCTACCGACTTGTGTGTAATGCAAGCCAACTGCAATCTTGTTTTGCTCCAGCCATCCGGCAAACAGTTTCGTGGGGTGGGGCCTGCTGTGCATTAATAGGTCCAAGAAGTTTCAGAAGACCTGCCTATCACCTTTGGTTAGACCTTCTGAAAAACAGACCGGCTGCCTGGACGATGCCTTCACCACGGCCAAACTTCTGTCCACTGGCCACATAATCTGGCGTCCCCCAGTCAACACACAGAGGAGGGATGGCCAACTCCTCGGAGGATGGAGGCCCGCCTGCCACCTTCAATGGGACAAACTCTACCTGTTGCATAGGCAACACTACCAATTCCACCTCCGCCTCTGAGGAGCAGGCGCCAGACTTCTATGTTGTCCTCCCTGTGATTTACTCCATCATCTGCGCTGTGGGTCTGACGGGCAACACCGCGGTCATCTACGTGATCCTCAAGGCGCCCAAGATGAAGACCGTCACCAACATGTTCATCCTCAACCTGGCCATAGCCGACGACCTGTTCACGCTGGTCCTGCCGATTAACATCGCAGAGCATCTCCTGCATTACTGGCCGTTTGGGGAGGTCCTCTGCAAAGTCATCCTGTCCATAGACCACTACAACATTTTCTCCAGCATCTACTTCCTCACCGTGATGAGCATCGATCGGTACTTGGTGGTCCTGGCCACCGTCCGGTCCAAGCGGATGTCCCACCGTACGTACCGGGCAGCCTGCATCATCAGCTTCGGCATCTGGCTCCTGGTCACCCTCATTGTCTCCCCCTTCTTCGTTTTTGCCAACGTCTATAAAGATGACTTGGACATCACAAGCTGCGGACTCAATTTTCCCAGGCCTGAAAGACTTTGGTTCAAGGCAAGCAGGATCTACACGCTCATCCTGGCCTTCGCCATCCCCGTGTCCACCATCTGCATCCTTTACACCTTGATGCTGTACAAGCTGAGGGGCATGCACCTGAACTCGAATGCCAAAGCCCTAGACAAAGCCAAAAAGAAGGTCACCATCATGGTTTTCGTCGTGCTGGCAGTGTGCCTGTTCTGCTGGACGCCGTTTCATCTCGCCACTATTGTGGCTTTGACCACTGACTTGCCCCAGACACCTGTGGTCATTGGCATCTCCTACTTCATCACCAGCCTGAGCTATGCCAACTCTTGCTTGAATCCGTTCTTGTACGCCTTCCTGGATGACAGCTTTCAGAAAAGTTTCAGGAAGATGCTGGAATGCAGAGCTGCTTAAAATATGTAGCATTTCTCCCAGATCTCTGCTAGCATCCTGGGGATGTTGATCCTGGCTTTGGATGAAAACTACAAACTTTTCAGTGTGCATTTCTGAAGAACTTTATGGCTGTACTGTGTTTAATTTTAATTGTGCCTCAAGGCTGTTTATATGTCTTCTCTGTAAAAGCCAATTGTTTGCACTTCCGCTGCTTTTAATTACTCTCAGTTACTTTTGTGTTGCTAGAATGCCTTCTATTGTGAGAAAGGAAATGAAGAAAGATCTTGAACCTGTGGAAAGAATAGGTACAGCTTTTTTCTTTTTCTTGGTCTACAGCCGCCACCTGGTGGAAAACAAGAAAATAGCTGTCTGAATAAATGGCATGAAAACAGCGCTGGGAGGGTTCTGTGTGGCTTGCATTGGGCATTATTATTATTATTATTATTATTATTATTATTATTATTTTATTATTATTATTATTGCTGCTTAAAGCCCCATTGTACAACAAAGCCTCAGCACCCTCTCTAACACGCACATGACTGAATCTTGCCTTCTCTATTTTATCTTTGCAGGCTTGCTTAGGTAGGATAGATGAGAAGCCTTCATCCCGCAGGATGCCCCGTCCAGAGCCCAGTTCGGCCACCCAGCAACTGGGCACCACTCTGGGCAGCACCTGCCCCTAGACCGAGGCCAAGCGAAGAGGGCAGAGACCGGCTACTGGTGCCCAGGTCTTCCTTGGAGTCTCAACGAGAGCTGATGATAGAAGCCCTACTTGGAGAAATCCCACACGGCACTGAGGAGATTTGGGAGGCCTGCCCAGCCCTCGTCCTCCAGGACAGCCATTGATCACCAGTGGAAAGTCTGGCTGGGCAGAGCGCGGCAGCTCCCTCTGCAGGCTAGGGCATGAATCTGTGCCCAGGCCAAGCAAAGGGAAAGCAGCAGGGGGTGGCATGAGGTGGAAGCTACCCTCCCAGCACACTGCCCAGAGGAAGCCATGGCCACCTAGATCGTGTGCGTAGGAACACAAACCCCGCAGTGATGCAAGGAGACACCCACCTCCCATGGCAGGCTGCATCCCATATCTCCCTTTTCCTGAGGAATGGGGTGCAGGACCTGATCCGGTCTCCCATAACGGCACTGACAAGTGGTCCTTTCTTTTCCAGAGCAGGCTCGTTGGAAGGGAGTAGAACTCTGGGAGGAACCCAGGAGGAAAATCAGGGAGGCCACGTTTCGCTCTAACCTTTAGGGAGGGAGTGTTGAGCCTCCTACTGGCAGGCAGATGAATTCACCCTTGGAAAAGCTCTTGAAGGCTGCATTTCGGGGATGGGCAGGCCTGAATCTGAAGCAGAACTAGCATCCTCTGGAGAAAAGCTCTACCTGCTGTAAATGAGAAGCCTTTCAAGTGTTCAGAACAAGAAAAAGGCACAGGAACTTCCAAACTAGCAGCGGCTGGGGAAGGGAGGAGGGCCGGGGGAAGGGCCAGGCCAAGTGGTGGCGGGGGGGCAGGGGCTGCATTTGGCGTGCACACCTGGAATTCCACAGTCCTGCTTCAGGGCGATGGCTGCAATGGACGCGGGCCAAAATCTCTCTGTATAAACCTATGTGTTGTGATAGAGGTGTTGGGCCTCAGTCCCAGTGTCCAGATCTAGTCTGCCTGAGTTTCCAATCCACCGTGTAGGGTTCCCTGATGGCCACACTCCTGCACCTGGACTGCCGCTCTTTCCCCAAGCTCCAGTCCTTCCCTGGTTTCCGGGGACTTGCGCAGCTTCCCTCCCGTGTCCTTAAAGCTTGAGTCGCCTCTGCTAAGTGACTGGTGAGATGCTGAGCCTGAGCCATGCTGGCGGCTTTGAGCTCTCGCAGCCCGCTTCTTTCTCCCCACTGCTTTGCCGCACAGAAGCTGCTAGCGTTCCAGAGTGTTTGCAGACTTGAACGCGGCTCAGCTCACTTCCTGCCCAGGGCCAAGTCTCGGAAAGAAGTCCAGCAAGTGGAAGAGAGCGGGATCCCAGCCTGATCCCAGCCTGATCCCTAGTTCTAAGTTCTTATGGACAAGCATGTATGAGAAGATTTCTCCTCCTCACCCCCTGAGATATTCATGAATGTTCATGGATATTCCATACCACTCCAATATAGAACAGACACCTTTAGGGTGTGTGTATGTGTTTTAAACTCCCTGCTTTTTCATGGGGAATAGCAAATTGTTGTGTTCTTTCTGCACTTGTGTCGCAAATGACTCTTACTGTTGCTCTGTCCTTCTTGTTGCTTTCTTCAGTCTCTCTCTTTTACGACAGTGACACAATTCACATACCATCTTGGCATCATGATTTCTCAGATGTTCAGCACCAAGGACAATGTTCTAAAACTACTGAGCTGCATTCATTCCTCAGTATGATTCTGAAGGCCAAGCATGATTCCTTTCCTCTATATTTAAAAAGGCACTTTAAAATGCCAAGAAAAGCATGTATTTCTGTGTTCGGGCCTGTCTTGTGTAAAAATATTTGGCAACAAGGACTTTTATAGAGAACTTGGTATTCCATGTTGCTGACTGTGTCGCTGCCAGATAAATCACATTTCCTGTCCTGCTTTTCTAATTTCTCAGTGGTCTTCTTTCATTTTCTGTGGCCAGGAATATCCTGGGAATGACCCAGAAGTGGGGAGAACCTGGCAGATTCTGCAAAGCGGTCAGAATGCTTAATCACTGCTCCAGCTGCCCATTAATTTGGATGCCAGGAAGCACTTCCTGACAGTTAGGACCCCGAGGGCATGGAGTGGGCTTCCATGGGAGGTGGTTGAAGTCCCATTGGTGAGGGTGTTCAAGGATAGGCTGCACATGCACAAATAGCATTGTAAAATTCTCCATCCTATTTGTGGGCAGGGAAACTGAATTGGGTGTTGGGCAGTGGAGGGCAGAATTTCACCAAAATTCTTCACAGAGAGGCGAGGTTCTACAACAGTTTCTCTCCTTTTCTTCTATGGATTTTCAGTATTTTGCACTGCTGCTGGCAGCCTGGTCCACACTTTGCATCCCCCACAGTGCAGGTGTTCCTGGTGGGTCTTGATCCAGGGAAGAGGAAAAATGCATAATTCCATTGGCAAGAATCCTCAAACTCCAGCCTCCCCTTTCCTGCATTTTTCCTTCCTCCATGAAAGGGGCTCCCATTGCTCCTCCTCATTCTTTGGGACCCTTAACTAATCACTGAAAGATGCTCACATAGTGCTCTGCATTAGCACGAGCAGAATAAATGTCTGGCGTAAAATCTAATGGGCAGGCTTTCCGGTGACAGTCCCAAGATCCAGTGGAGGCATAGCAGTAGAACTGGGACTCAGGACTTCTGGGTTTGCTAGATATCATCCCATGGCTGGCGTCTTAGGACCATTTACAACAAGCACGATTAAAATAACATAAAAAATGCTGCAGCATCCAGAGAGACATATAAAACCACCGTTCAGACCAATTAACACTTAAAATAAAGGGAGAATAAAAAGTTTTAGCTGGCGCTAAAAAGAATAAAGTGACGGCACCAGGCGAACCTCTCTGCGGAGCGTATTCCATAGTCAGGGCACCACCACAGAGAAGGTCTTAACTTTCAAGGAGGGCTTCTGAAGAAGGACCTCCACCTCCGATCTCAAGGGGCGGGAGGCCAAGAAGAAGGTGCTCCTTCAGGTATCCAGGACCCAAGCCATTTAGGGCTTTATAGGTCATGACCAGCACCTTAAATTGGGCCCAGGCTTCAACTGGAAGCCAGTGTAGATGGTGGAAGGCCGGCATTATATGTGACTTTCTGCTGGTCCCTGTTAACATCCTGACAGCTCTATTCTGAACCCTCTGAAGTATCCGGACTGTCTTCAAGGGCTGCCCCAGGTAGAGTGTGTTACAATAATCCAGTTAGTCCCCACTCAGCCTTGAAGCCCATTGAGTCACTTTGACCAGTCACAGCCTCTCAGCCCAACCTACCTGACAGGGTTGTTGTGAAGATAAAGTGGGGAGGATAAGCCCCTTGTATGACCCCCTGTAGGGAGAGAGAACAGCTACTGGGCACTCATTCTCATGGACTGCTGACTCCAGTTCAGAAGGTTCAGAATCGGAATCTGAAGCGGATCAAAGCGGAATGAGGATGGGATGTTCCAAGATACTGATCTGAAGGAGGCTGATGTGCTTATTTCAAAGATTTGATGGAGCAGGTGGTTCCTGGGAATAACCAAGCTGTGCAGCCAGTAGGAGGAGGGGACTCTGAGAATGAGGGGTACTCAGATGGATAGCAGGTGCCCCTGGCTTTCAGTCCCATGGCACGGCATCAGCAGAGGTGAATAGCTCCCTCTCAGGGAGTCCCCCTGGAAGGCATGATGCCCAGGTGGGCATGTAAGGAGAGTCCTTGGATGGAAACACTAGACTGGCTTCAGCGAACTGCTCAGAGCTTTGTTCTGGGTGATTTGTCCTTGCAAGCAATGAAGAACATTTTGCAAGGAAAACTGTCTGTGGCTTTGATTGCCTGATCCTTGGCTCGTGACACCCCCTTTGATTCTTTGCAAGAAGGGAAAAAGATGGAATATAAATGTCATGGTAAAATAAACATTAAAATCACGACGCATGGGGGGAATGAATCTGACACTCTCTGTACATGTCTGGCTGGTTGGCGCAAAGGTGGGACATTGGCCTATGAAATCCCACACCTGATTCCTGATGCAGGCCTGTTTCGCCTTCTGATTGGCATCTGCTCGTCAGCTGAATGGGATTCCATGTAGGGGAGATCTGTCATTACGGGGCAGAGCAGGAAATGTTACTTGCAACCTGATTATTTTCTTTGTGGGGCATGCTCTTCACTGACTCACTGGGAGGAGGAAATGAAGGCCTGGTGATGTTTGTTCATTGTACTTTAGTATTAGCAAATACAAAGGAAACACAGAAAAAAACCCTTCTGCAAGCAAAACAGAATTACCTTACTGTAAGAAAGTGGTTCATCTGGTTAAGAATGTATAAGAACTTTGCTCCTGTTTGCAAATCATGCAAAGGCACCCTCATTTGCAGCCCAGCTGTGTATATGAGAAGCAATGGAATTATCAGGGAATGTTGCACTACTCCGAATCTGTCCTTGCATTCAAAACTGTGCTTTCATGCAAGTGTAGCCTCCCGAAACTGCATTTTCATGTTTGCAGC